AAGAACTCGCGCGACTTCGCCGCCATGTTGAGAACGAGGTGCCGGAAGCGATTACGTGTTTGGGAGCTGCGTACCGCTATTGTCTTTACGGTCTCGTGAAATCCGATAAGAAAGCCGCGAAGATTTACCAGCGCGCCGTGGAGCTCGGAGATGTGCGAGCGATGAATGATCTTGGGGAAATGTACGAGTTCGGAAGTGGCGTCAAGCTGGACAAGAAGAAGGCGGAGCGGCTGTATCGCGCGGCTTCAGACCGGGGAGACGCGGTCGCGCAATCCAATCTAGGGTGTTTATTTTTTGCTGAAGAGAAATTTGAAGAGGCGTTCCGGTACTTCGCGCTCGCGGCGGATCAAGGCTATACCGATGCGGAGAACAACCTTGGCTGCTGTTATGAGCGCGGAAAAGGCACGGAAGTCGACATCGGCAAAGCCAGATACTGGTTCGAGCGCGCCGCTGCCAAGGGCAACGAGGCAGCTATAGAGGGCCTCGCGTACCTAGCCTAAGTCTTTACGCCGTGTCGTCGCCCGAGCCCGAGATGCTGCGCTTGCGCGCGGGCGAGTCGCGCTTGGCCTTGGCGTCGTCGTCGCCGCATTCCTCTCCGCGCCGACCTTCGCGGTCTGGTGCCTGGCGTTCTTGGATGCGAAGCCTGCCCGGCGCAAGGACGACGCCGCCGAGGGGGGGATGGAGAACGACGTGAGCGCGATGCTCTTGCCCGGAGTGTACGGGTAGAGCAAGACCTTTGGCGACTTCCTCGAGGCGAGTATCTGGCCAGTGGTGAAAACGACGAGGAGGCCGTCGACCCACCCACCGAAGACGAAGCCGTCGACACCTCGAGCCGTCGACCGCCGACGCCCCGGACCCGTGAAAGCGCCCCCGCCCCCTCGACCATACGACGGAACCAATGACCGTCTACGAGTTCGTCGTCACGGCCTTGCTCTGCGCCTGCGCGGCCCACTGCGTGCTCCTCGACGCGGCGTCGATCCTCGTGCTCCTGCGCAAGGCCCGGCTCTACGCCCTGGGCCTCCTGACCATGGCCGTGGGCCGCGACAAGCGGTGGCGGTCGCGGCGCGTCGACGCGCGGACCGTGCGCGCCGCGCGGCTCATCGAGACGAAGCGCCTCGTCTTCGTGCGCCACGGCGAGAGCGAGTGGAACCGCATCTTCAACGTCGGCCCGAAGGCGCTCGCGCCCTTCAAGCTCGCGATCGCGCTCGTCCGCGAGGGCGCGCTGCTCCTCCGCGGCGACCCCGGGTCCGTCTTCCTCGACGCGCCGCTGACGACGCTCGGCCTCGAGCAGGCCCAGGCCGTCGCGGCGCTCCTCCGCGAGCCGCCCGCGGGCCCCGCGGCCGCGCTCGAGCTCGCGACGCTCCGCGGCGACGCGACGGCGCCGCGGACGTCCGTCGTCGTGTCGTCGAATTTGCGGCGCGCGGCGCAGACCGCGGCGCTCGCGTTCCAGCACCGCGTCCGCGGCCGTGTGGAACTCAAATCTTCAACCCGACTTCAATGTGCGCGTAATCGAACGGTTGGACGCGAGCTCTTCTTCTATGCTTCGAGAACTCGACGAGAGCCATCGATTCGTCCAAAAATCAGCCGAATCGACGTCGATGTGACCGAGATAGAGAGTTCTGAAGTTTGGTTGGGATAACCCAGCTCACTGTTTGATTTCCACACAGGTCCGCGGCGGCGAGGCCGTCCGCGTGCTCTCCTGCCTCCAGGAGATCTCGAACAACGTCGACGCCGTCGCGCTCGCGCCACCGGGCGCGGCGCCGGACCTGCCGCGCGTGCCCGCGCCGCTCCGCGGCCCGGGCGCGTTCGACGGCGCGGGCAACCTCGGCACCAAGCCGCCGCGCGGCGACGGCCGGCGGCGCCTCGAGGCCTTCTGCGCCTACGCGCTCGCGGCGGACGAGGGCTGCGTCGTCGCCGTCGGCCACAGCCTCTGGTTCCGGTCCTTCTTCGACGAGTTCCTCCCGAGCGACGCGGCGCACGTCGCGCGCGTCGCGAAGATCCGCAACGGCGGCGTCGTCGCCTGCAGTGTGGATTCCAAATCTTCAACCCGACTTCAATTGTTCGCGTATTCGAATGCTTCGACGCAAGCTCTTCGGCTGCGCTGCGAGAACTCGACGAGAGCAATCGATTCGTCCAAAGATCAGCCGAGTCGACTTCGATTTGACCGAGGTAGAGAGTTCCGAAGTTTGGTTGGGATAACCCAGCTCACTGTTTGAAATCCACACAGGTCGCCTGCGACCTCGAGTCGCGGCTCCTGCCGAGCGGCGTGCCCGTCTTCTCGATCCCGCCGGCGTCCGTCGCGGAGATCCACCTCGGCTTCGACGTCGACAAGCTCCCGGGCCGCGCGCGGCGCGCGCCGGCCGCGCGGCCGCTCGTCGGCGTGCCCC